TAAAATAAATTATGTAACAACTTAACATGCATACAATTGTACCATAATAGAAAAAATAGTAAAATGAGATTGAACTACCGATGCATAAAAATTATGGATAAACCTCAAAATAATTATGCTAACTAAGTGCATAAAGTCAGACCCCCCCCAAAAATTAAAAGAGCATATACATAATTTCACTTGTGTAAATTTTAGAAAACGGCAACTAGTGACAGAAAGCAGATCTGTGGATTCCCAAAGATGGCAACAAGGTCTCATCAAGGACTCAGAACCAGGCCTGGGGTGATGGTATGCTAGCAACCTTGACAGTAGTCATGGCTTCACAAGGGTACTAGAACAACATCTGGAGACTACTGCCTGGCATTTAACCTGACTAAAGCTTCTAGGACAGAAACCTCTCCACCCTTGCTGCCTTGGCCTTCTCTTGACAGGGCCTCCTCTGCTGGTCTTCTCCACCACGGGCACCGAGTCCTGCTACTCACATTTGGGTGCTATCCTGATTCATATCAACTCTGCCTATTCTGATATATCCCATCAGCTGGGTTACGATGTCCTCCTCTTTCAGCTGTCTTGTTCTCGGTGTTGCTTCCCTTCTATACCCAATTCACTCAAGGATCAAGCCCAGTACTTTGTATGCTAACTGGCAAAGGTCTACCTGTTGCCCTCCACATCCTCAACAGAGGCAGGGATACTGGTCTTGCTCACTGTTCATGCTGAACTACTAGATGATTGCTTGCCAAATAGGAGGCATATACTGACTACTGGGTGGACACATGGTGATTTCCTAGTCTTTCCTCAAATCAGAGCCCCGAATTGGAGCCCTGAAGTCCTAAGGAAGTTACTTTCTAGACTATCACACATTGGACAAGAACACATGGATTGGCCTCCTCGGCCCTTCAGGATATATCCAGAAACTAATGAAGAGACTCCATTAAACTGGACACTGCTGAATATTCATGCATGAATTTTCTCATAAAGACAACATGACAGGGAATTGTGCCTTCCAGACTAAAAAGAAAGAAAAGAACCAAAAGTGGTAATAAGAGGATGGGCAGGTAGCTCAGCAGGTAAGAATGCTTGCTCTACAAACATTAGGACTTGAGTTCAAACCCCTAATGAGCATGTAACTGTGTAAGCCCGCATTGGGGACAATGTGATTCTAGCCCACTGGCAGACTTCATCTCACGGCAGCAAGAGGGAAAGTGGTAGAAGAAAATATCCAGTCCTGCCCTACTCTCCATATGCCCACGCACAGGCAGCTCATCTGAACACTCTTGTGCATGCACCACAGACACGCACGCACGCACGCACATGCACACGCAGGCTCTGCATGCACAAAATGGCAATCAAAAGTTAAGTCTAAGTGGCACCTTCAAAGGTGTTCTAATCATAGAACAAGTCACTGGACAATATTAACTATGAGTTTTAATGCTTTCCCTGCTAAAATTCATTTTTTTATAACTAGGAGTAACAAGCAATTGCCACCAAGCCTGGAATATATGATAATCAAATACGCTGCCTATTTACATATGGTTCCCTGAAGCCACTCCTGATTAAAAATTGTACCATTTCAATCTTCTTTCTAGAAATATCTATTAGCTAGAAATGCATGTGAAGTCCAATAAATTTAGAATATAATTACACGTATCCTATACAAATTGCTTCTCAATGGCTTCTACTCATGAAAATAGAGCAAAGAGCAATGATCAGCTCATTATAAATCTACAGAAGATTCCCCAGGAAAAGGTAGTGAGAGCAACTCCACAAAGACCTTAAGCTGCAGCTCATTTAAGTTCAGCAGAAAATAATCACTTCTGATCTGAGCTCCCAGTGCACCTTGGGAAGCACTCCATGGGTGAGCCACACTCTCTGACTGGCACCCTCACTAAGTAATGCAGTTCTAACCACTTGGAGGCTAGAACCAAGGGACTCGAAGAGTCTCGTCCAGGTCCAACGTGGTCTCACTCCACAATCACAATCTCAAGATCACAGCTAACCTCAGCCAGTCTGTCAAGGCAAGGAGAGATGGGCCATGTCCTTGGAGCCCCATGCTGTCCAGACTCTTTAGCAATGATCCACATCTTTAGCGCTGAACACTTTAAAGGGCATGGAAAACAGTCCAGTTTCAATGTTTCCACAGGCTGTAGTCTCTCTAGCCCTACTGAACCCTAAGCAGGACCTGAACCCAAAGGCTCCCTTAAAGTCCACCCTTACCACAGTTGTAGCAGAGACATGAAGAGACCAGAACTACATACATGTGTCACTTGGAAGAAATACAATCACTGGGACATTTCAAGGCCATTGGTTTGCAACTACAGAGACACAGAGACGGTAAGAGAATGGCTCCGCTTTGCAGACTATTCTCATCCAACCCACTCCCGTCCCCACATGTGTGTGCTGGAAGGTACAGCACGGAGGGGAAGCACACACGAAAGGAGAAGAAGGGACCAGTACCAGAAAGGAAGGCTAGCAGCGTATTCCCTTAGCCACTCTAGAAACCGGACACTTGAGCATTTTTAAACCCTCATTCCTGAAGCAGCTAACTGCTCAGATAGGAAATGCATGTCCATAAGTCACACAGCCATAGGTCTCTAGTCCTGCTCCTACTAGCTGCCAACAAGTGCCCAGTTTCCTCGTCTGTCCCTTAACAATGGAGATGCATTCTGAGAATTAGATGCTTGGGATTTGTATCCCTGTAGGAAAATCCCTGAGTGAAATCTGCCAAGCACAGATGGTGCAGGTCAGCCACTTCATACAGTCTCTTGATGCACTCAAGAGACGGTGTAATATGAGGTCAAAGAAGCAACTGCCCACTTACCACAGCATAGAGTTCTGCAGTAACTTTCTTTTAATAAACACAAGACACACCAAAACAGAAAAAAATGATGACCTAGTAAATACATGACCCATGCAGTCACTTATGATCATAGTGGTATGGGCAGAACTGGATATGCTATTCCTGCAAAGAAGATGGCTTGTTCACATGTATTAGTTAGTAACTCACTGACTGTGATATTACAAAGTCACCAGATAATAGAAACTTTTCACATCCATTACAGGTTTATAGAGCTAACATCGTACATGTGGCCATTGATCAAAACAGCCTTCCATGGGGCATGACAGCACTTCGTTTCTACTTTAGTCACTGGGTATTGTGAACAAGATGAAATTGGCTAAAACATGGGAAGTACTTAAAGTGTCTGGCCACAGCAGGTGCTCAGGGAAGTGCTGTCACTGTTATTTGATAGAGTCTGGCCATCTTGGAGACTAGGAGAACAAAGGAATTGAACTGCTCTGTTCTTACAGACTGGAATCCTGTGAGCCTCTCTTCCAGCTAGTAATTGCACATGAAAATATTTCTTTAAAAGTTTTTTGATATGATTTTATTTACTCTGTGTGTGTGCGTGTGTGTGCATACGCATCTCAACCTGTATTTGGGGGTCAGAGGGCATTTTGCAGGAGTCAGTTTTCTCCTTTTCACCATGTGGGTCCTAGAGGCCCAATTCTGGGAGTCAGGCATAGCAACAGGGGCCTTGCCCCCTGAGCCATTCCACTAGCCCAACAATCCTATATGTATACAATTTGCATTTCTAGTCTTTACCACTCTTAACTATTCCCAATCATAGATGCTGTTTGTAAATTTTAGATTCCTTTCTTGATCACCCATGAAAGGGAAGTACAATAGACTGCTTGAACTGCAGTTTGGGATCAGGGCAGCAGGGCAGAGCACAAAGGCAGCTGGGTGGCTGCCTGAGCTATCCCAGGCACGGCAGCCGGCTCTGAGACCTGCCTCCTCAGAAACAGCTAACCAACTCCATTGTTCCTGGAGAGTTCTCAAATCCCCAGCAGGCCAGATTCGAGATCCGAGGACCTTGGCTCTTCCCTCTGGGACAGTCCTGAATTACTTGAAGGGATATTTAGGTTGCCATCACTATTCAAGATGGCAGGGAAGCTGGTGAAATTTCCAACCACTCAACTTTGTTTCTTGTTTTGGACTGATAGTTCAAGGTAAATTTAGAAAAGATTCAAAAGAAAATTTTGAGATTGGAAAAATGAAGAAATTTAAGAGTACCATGAGATGGATTTTTTTTTTGCTCTTAAACAATTTTTCCAAAATAGGCATTTACGCAAACAAAAAACAAGTAACAACAACAAAAATCAATAAAGAAACTGGAATTATCAGAAAACAATGACCTTAAAAATTCTAGTTCATTCTCTCATATGACTTAGCACTCTAGTTTTACGAGGAAATTCTTGCATTCCTTTGTCTAATAATCAGGTAGTAAAAGAGTCAGTGGTCCTGCTGTCTGCTGTGCTCCACACACTCAGCACCTGTTTGTAATCCTGTTCTGAGAAACTCTTGGGGACCCTTGATAAATAGAAACACAACAGCAGGAAAAGATGGCTGGGTCACCATGTTGGCAATCTACAGCTCTCTGCTGCAAGGCGTCGTCAGACCTTAGAAAAGGCAAGAAAACTGGAATGTCTGCCTACAGAAGCCACTTAACTGCTTCTGCCAAGGGGGTCTTATAAAAATGATGGAAGCCAAGAACAGGCCCATACCTGACAGATCCCAACCATCGAGATAGTGATGTCGGGCATAACGAAGCATTTTGGCAAGGCAAGAACGTGTACAGTATGAGAACTGGGGAGGGCTTGACAGATCCCTGTTTTCCCGGCTCTTTCTCAGCACGCTAATTGTGGTGACTGAACAGCCTACTCCGAGCATTAAAGAACAGCAATTGGCTGTATGGATCTGACTGCCGTGCTCCTGGGCGATGGGAAGACAAAATGACAGTAGTGCTTACATGCAGAAATATTCTGCACACAGTGGAGCAATGAGCCAGCGAGCATTTAAACGGGGGCAAGGGAAGCTCTGCACACATACTGGTGAGACAGGCTGGAAAAGGAAAGGGCACGCGACACACAAACACCTGTGTGTGCATGTATCTCTTCAGAGCCTGAGTGACACTGCTTTCCCCCAGAACAGGCGTATGTACCTTCACAGCTATAGCTGTACACTGCCACGGCTGATCTGTCCACCAGGTTCTCATCGTGATGCCAGCTCACCGCCATTTTCCCCATGCCGAAATAAGGCTCCTCTTTCAGGTAGGGCATTTTCTGAGGATCCATGAAGTTTAGTAAAGTCACGTTGTAGGCTGCTCTGCTCTTAATGTCCACTTCATCATCACAGGATGACCCCATGCCAACCCTGGGGAACTCTGCCATGCACAACGGCACGGCGTCTTCGTTGGCCTTCTCTTTGACAGCCAGTTCTTCCAAGGCCTGGATGGTCTCACCCTGCAGGTAGTCATTGAGCTTGAGGAAGGTCTGACACGCAGCAGCGATCTCGGCCTCTGTGTAATTGATGGTGCAGCCCTTCACTGGCCAGGGCACTGTGAACAGTCTGGTGTTCAGGTACTTGTAGGTACAGCCTGGGTCTCCGATGAGGATGCGAGACACTGGGGTGAGCACATCTTTGCCTTGGATCCGAACCAGGTCCCGAAACAGGCAGCCATGCTTGTGCAGAGTGAGGAAGGCCTCAGGGACCTCTTTATGCAGCTCCTCCGATATACTGCCGGCTTCCCGCAGAACCAGTTTAGGGTATTTCAGCTGCCACTAAAACGAAACCAAAGGGAGAAATTGGTATGGACGGCTATCATCTTATTATTTCCACAAGTCTGTTTTCCTTCTAAGAGTCCAGGGAGAAACTAAACTAGCTAGTGGTTTTCCCATGTAGAGTTCATATCTTGCCAGTCTAAAGAAAAAACCTACACAAAACTGACAGGAGACTCTCCGATGAGCACTGTCAGGTTGAAGCGATAACTACTAATAATCAACACAAACAAAAAATAAATTAGAATAATTTGGCCGTTGAATTCCAGGCTTCCTGTGCCCACACTGCCCCCACCTTCAATCTCTCTTGCATCCTTTTACTTTGCAGAAAACATGATTTTATTCACGAATTTACTATTGCCTACTGTCAAGAGTTTTCATCCATGCCAGGTGTCATTCTGACTCACCCAGACTGGCTAATTTCTCATGCTTTCACGTACACTATGAGATCCAGTTTACAGATACAACAGTGAAGCAGCCAGGCACTGGGAAAGCTTGCCCCAAGTTACCCTGGCAAATATCAGCCCAGGATGTAAGCCTCTAGGCTGCAGTGTCTGTCTGGCTCCAGTGGGGGTGATCTTAACTATCTGAACCCCTTTCAATTACTGGCAAACTGGCTTCTGGTTCAAGACACTCACCTAAAGAAAACTCACCTCTCTGGAAGCAAATACACTAAAGTTCTATGAACACATGCACCATGACAATTGGATTCATGGCTATAATACTAGTGCCCGGAATAGTCTGCAAAAGGCAGTTCTACTGGTGTCATGGGAATGGGTTATTCGGACAAATCCCACCCTAACAAAAACACACACTGATGCTGCTCAGCATTGTACTGGCTTTCCTGGCACAGGATTTACGCCCCTGCAAAGGTTAATCTGACTTGCTTCCTCAGTTCCTGGCCGAGTCCTCAAGGAAAAGCCTAGGGATAGCAACCCACTTACTAGCCTCAGACCACTGTGCTGCTCAGGCCTTCATGCCTGGGGAGGCAACATGCTCATTCCTGTGGGTGTATGCATGTACATGCAGATACATGTGCACCTGTGTGCAGAAGCCAGAGATCAAGGTCAGGTATCTTCTTTAATCACTCATTGGCTGGGTCTCTCACTGATTGGCTAGGCTGGCTGGCCAGAGAGCTAGAGGGATGGACTTGTCTCCACCTCCTCAGCATTAGGATGACAGATGTGCAATGGCTCCTGGATTTCTACATGGGTACTAGGGATCCAAACACAGGTCCTCAAGCAACAAGCTGTTTGCTACTACGGCATAATCTAGCCCATTCTGGCTCATTTACACAGCACTGAAAGGGAGCAATCCTTCAAGATTCTACAAGAAGCATACAAAAGAAAAACAGATTCATCAAATCTGAATGCGAGAAGTAGAGTCTGCCTGCCCTGCTCTCAGAAGCCTATGTGCCTTATGATCATGGATGTAACATCAAAGTACATGCGGTGTGCTGCTGTGTATGGTCTCGAATGTAATGGGAAAGGGCATTGCATGGGCTATTGCATGTGGCACACTGTTGTACACTGTCAGAGATCCACCCAGAACTTAGTGTCTGCACTTCATTTATCCAAACTGCAAAATGGGGGCAGCAATACCACGCTTTGCATCTGCACAGCCCAGGAAGACAATCGTGTAAGCAATACAATCTTGTAAACAGAGAATATCACGGAACCATACACATCTGGTCTCAAAACAAGGAGAGGAGAAAGGAGGGGGAGGAAGGATGGGAAAATAAAGCTCTATACCTATTATTATGTTTATACAACTAACAACCAATCATTTACTTATACACGATCTATTTTGTGGTATCCATATTACAGAGAGAGTGTATCAAAGACATTTTTTAAAGGATTAGTGGATTTGAATGTATGTTTTTAAAATGTTTGTACAAAATGAAGCATACAGTTAATAATCAAGCTCTAATTGAAAAATATTTGCAACCTATATAATAAAAATAGGATTAATAAATATTTTTAATAAGAGGCCACTAAGAGTTCAGATATATGTGTAATTATGTATTATGTATATGACACATGTGTTATATACATTATACGTATACAGTAATAACAATAAAAAGCGGCTGTGTATTGAAAAGAGCAAAGGTAGGTGGTGCACTGGAGAGTTTACAGGGAGAAAAGAGGAGGAAAAACAATGTAATATAATCTTAAAAAATAAAAAATTGAAAAATAAAGCTTCCAGAGCTAACAGGTTACTATTTTTAAATTTTTTTTGAAAAGACATAAGTACTAAAAAACAAACTGGAGAAAAATGGGGTTAGAAGTTGAAAGCACTAGCCTCTAGGTATGCACTTTGTATATTTTAATTTTGGCCTTTAACATCTATATGATTTTCTAAAATAGATGTAATCTATTTTGAATCAGAAAAAAATCAAGGAAAAGATTATTTTAACATATTTTTCATGGCAATTCTTAAATTTGCTAGAAAATTATTCTTGATGACATGATAAAATGACACAGAATCATCAGCCCCCCTCACCAAAACTTCTGCCTTATTTAAATCTGGTATGTCTGTTACAGCGAGATGAGAACAATTAATGACAGTAGGATAATTCTGCCACAGTCTCAAAGATGGACGGGAGAAAATGCCTTCCCGATGTGTCCTCGCCCTCATCTACTATTTAGACAGTAGTTAATCTAGTACCTGACTCACGGAACAGCTACGGACATTAGTTATGAATTGTCTTAGAAAGAACAGCAAGTAACTTTGGAGAAGAGATGAACATTAAATAATCTGAGTTCATCCTGTCAGGCGAGCAAGTTCACTTTCCGTTTAGACAGGTATATGAGGAACATCAGATAGCACACAGTAATTTGGAACAGCTGTTGGCAGATTTTCAAATATGTTAGTGTAATTTTTTTACTAATCCTGTTTTTCTAGGGAGTATACAGTCATGAAATCATATTATCACTGGTTTGGTTGCACACTATATTTCTGAAATCTGTGAATATTTCTAGGGTATAAAAGATGATGTTTAATTTAGTATTTGAAAAGGTATGGTAACCATAATGTGCCAGCATGCATGCCCTACCCAAAGGCTTGGGAGACCTGCAACACTGCATGCCCTACCCAAAGGCTTGGGAGACCTGCAACACTGCATGCCCTACCCAAAGGCTTGGGAGACCTGCAACACTGCATGCCCTACCCAAAGGCTTGGGAGACCCGCAACACTGGCTCTCCAGAGGCGAGGCTTTGTCTTTGCCAATTTTAATGAACTACGTACAAATTCTATTTTTTCCTTTCCTACCAAGGGATGGTCTGAAATGACTTCATCATTCGGAGAAGACAGGCATGGTGCTAAATGAGCGAGACACTCATTTACAGGAGGAAAACTCAAATGAGGCCCAATGTAACTCTATCTTCAATTGCGAGAACAGAATTTACTACCTGTAAGGAGCCTGGGACACGCCTGCACCTGACAATGTCAGTGGCCCCTCTATAACCTGCTGCCCCATTCTTTGATGTAACACTTCATGCTTTGCCCTCTGGAGCATCCTGCATGCTGTCCTTCATAATATTTTCTACATCATTTTTTACTGAAAATACTTGCAACTTGGCAACAATCCCAACACTAAAAGGCTACACACTCGCTTGGCCCAGCTGCCAGCTGTAGGATGCCAAGCAGGACCCAGAGGAAGCACACTTCTGAAGACCTATGTAGGATCTGCTATAGCTGTCACAGCCAGGTTGGTGAAACCAGAGATCTGCTAGTGACACAAAGAATTGGTTCATGCATTTGTTCACTCAACAGCTCAGGCTACTCTGCGTGTTCATGTAACATCTAACCAGCACTTGTTATGCACCAGACACTGGATAAAGGCCATAAATATGCTGATAAAAGTAAGCTAGGTCCTACTGATAATGTCTCATATTTTAACTGCACAGACAGAATGGAAAGTAATGGAGTAAGACGTTACCAGGGCAGAAGTACAAGCACACTGTCAAGAGGAGGAGGGGACAGTGGGGGAGGAAAGTTTGTTAAACCCTCCCTTGGGGGCTTAAAGACCAGTCAGGCGCACACCATCTACAAAGTACTAAGTTCCAGGAATGCCAGAGAACGAAACATCACCCACTCTCTTCAAGCTTATATCTGGGAAGGAGAGACAGATACAAATGAATAAACAGATTAAGATGGCAATGAGAGCTTGAGAGGAACTGGGCTGCTGTGAGAAGTATGGCCACCTCACGTCTCTCCAGCAAAGTGACCAGAGGACAGAAGAATGAAAGAAGGAGGATGCCAGCCTGCAAAGACCCGAGTGGGAGAGCTCCAGGTGAAAGGAGCACAGCACTAAAGTTGTAGGGCAGGAGTGTGCTTGACACGGTCCAGGAAGAGGAAGAGGAAGAGGAAGAGGAAGAGGAAGAATGCCACTGTAAGAGGAGGATGTGGGGTAAGGAGCTAGGAAATCATGAATTCGGGTGAGGGAACAGTGAGGAGTTACAGTACTTGGTACTTTATATGTCAATGTCCAGTGCCAGGCTTCTAGGTTTCTACTACGAACACGTTGAGAAGCTACCACAGGACTCTCAGCAAGAAAGCAGACAGAGCTAATTAAAGAAAGCTCCGGGGCAGGGTGGGTGGGTAGTGAGTTGGCTCTGTGGGTAAAAGCACTTGCTGCCAATCCTGATGACCCACACAGTGGAAGGAGAGAACAAACTCCCACAAACTGTCCTCTGGCTTCCACATGTATACCATGGCACCACACATGCGCACACACAGGCAAAAAAAATTAAATGAATAAAACCATTTAAGATTTCCCCAGATGAGGCAGAGGAAGAGTGGAGAAGCTGGGAGGCAACTGCAACAGGGATGAAGGCAGTTCTGGCCTCAGGGGAAGCAGAGGAGGCAGGAAGCAGTCAGATCATTCTTCACCAGTGGGGCTCCCAGGACATGAACAGAGTGTGCCGTATTATGGAGGGCACGTTTCTTAGGGGGAATGGGTGGCTGCCAGGCAGTATGGGGGAGGGGGTGCTGGCAGGCA